GGGACCGGCACAGCCCGGGAATGGGACCCGGGACCGGCACTGCCCGGGAATGGGGCCGGCACTGCCCGGGAATGGGACCCGGGACCGGCACTGCCCGGGAATGGGGCCGGCACAGCCCGGGAATGGGGCCGGCACGGAGGAGCGGGACGCGGAGCTGGTGCCACCGCTGCAGCAACAGGCGCTGTGGTGGGAACGGCCTTGCCTGGGAGTCAGACAAGGCTTTTCTCCCGGGTGCAAATCCCCAGCTCTCGCTGCAACCCGAGCTTGGCTCTGGTTCGGTTAATCCCAGAGGCTGGTGCTGGTCTGTCTTAGTGCAAATAACGCAGGGGAAGTTTCCGAGTGTCCCGTGGGCAGGCTCAGCTTCTTACCTTTCCAGGTGAGTATCTTCTGTGTTCCTTACGAAGAGCATGTATTTGATGATGTGTGCTTGTACAGCCATCAGAAGGGCTCTTGTTCCCTTCTGAAACAGAAAGACAGCACTGCCCAGAGCTTTGGAGCCTGTGTCCATCACGTCCAGCAGGTGTGCAGAGGGTGGGGTGCTGCCGTGGGCAGAGCATGGGGTGCTGCCGTGGGACACAGGGCAGGGGGGCACCCAGCACTGGCTGCAAGCTGCTGCAGGTGGCTGAGAGGCTGGTGAGACAGTGCCAGGCACTGAGACTTGTACCTTCCCTGCCTCCAAAGCGTAGGCCAGGTCAGAGCGCGGCTCCCGGAACCTGAAGCTGGTTTGTGCCCACTCGCGGCTGAAGCGCTGGGACACGTTTCCAAAGAGCAGCTGCCCCAGCCCCTGCAGAGGAGGAGGGAGTCTGGGTTCAGCTCCCATCACGTCCCAGCGTGGCAGGGGTCTGTAGTGAGGCAGCCTGAGGTGCAGGTGCAGCCTGCGTGCTCACAGCAGCAAAGTCATCTCCTGAGGCCAGGGTGTGCTGAGGGGACACGGGGCTGGTTTGCTGTGGAGGCCTTGGTGGTATGACCAGCACTGGGGACTGTCCTGCCATCACCCCCAGAAACCCCTGAGCTTCTGGCCAAGGCTCTTTGTGGGGTAGAGGCAGCAGGCACCCGGGTGGGTGTCTCAACACCAGGTATTGGGGCGAGAGCAGAACTACCTCACTGCTCTCCTGAACCTCATCCTCCTGTCCTGAGCTGGCTCTCTCAGAAAGCACCAAGAGCAGAGCAATGTTACACTCTGTCATTTGACCTATTATCTAATGAGAATTATAGCAGATCAGTTTGAAGGTTTGTGTTGCAACCGTGTTCTTTAAAAGTCTCATGAATAAATCATTGTGATATATCCTGTTACAGATAACAGCAGGCTGCAGCCTGCAGCCCAGCAACCCACCAAGCCTCCCCTAGGGCCAGGTGAGGTTCCTGAGCCTTTGTCTTTGAATGAGATTGAATTACAGCTCATGCTTAATTCCACAGGCCTGCTCACCATTGCCATTGCCAAGGAGATGGGCTGGCCACCTGTGTCTGGAGGGACCAGGAGGGGCCTGGGGACAGCAGAAGGGGGCTGAGGCAGTGGTGGTGGCCCCATGGGCTCTCCAGCTCCAGATGGTCCATGGCCAGTGCTGGTCCGGTGCTGCTGGATGGAGAGAGGACCAGAGGGTGCATCACCCCTTGGCTGTATCCCCCCTGCGACCCTCTTGCCCTGCAGTGCCAGCAGGGTGGGCACCACAGCCCTGGGGATCCTTTGGGGGGCACAGACCTGCTGCCAGGACTTACAGCTCCTTTCCAACATTGCAAACACATCCCCACAAGCTGGTGATGGGTGTACAATGCTGTGTTTGTCTGAATCACAGGGATTAAACTTCAGTGCTTCCCAAGCTAAGGACACAGTAGGTGTTTGAGATCTTAATTTGTTGCCTTTTTTTCCTGTGTTCTAAAATACACCACGAAAACCAACTAGTTCATTTATGTTGGACTTCTCTGTGTTTTGAATTAGATCAGGAAGACATCCCCTTAAAATATCTGAAGACAATATGTGGTTCTTAAAGGGGGAGCAGAGGAAAAACTTCTCCATGGGGGCTGCTCTGCTGCATGTAGAGGTGTAATCCCCTCAGTGTGCTCACCTGGTTAAGCAGTCACAAAACCCACCAGACAAATACAAAATGTTACCTGATTAGTTGGGTTGCTGATTTCCAAACTGAAAAGCAAAAATAAAATACAAATTAAAAAAAAAAGAAAAAAAAAAAGGGAGGCATTGCTAACATGAGGAAACAGAGCAGCTGGAAAAGAAGTTCAGAAGAGAAGAGGGAAAGCTGTAGTACTTGCTGAGTACAGGAAGACCTTTGTCCACGGTCACAGAAGCATTGTAATAAAACATAACTTATAAAAGGATATTAAAAAAACACCTGGAATTAAAAGCACATGCAAATGAAGCAGAATAAAAGTCTTACCTGTGAAAACTGAAGATTTCTTTCCATTTGTTTAGGTCTGAAATTTTGCTGGCGATCTCCTCCAGCTGCAGCTGGGGCAGGGGGTGCTGACCCCCCGGCTCACCCGTGGCCCCGGGGGCTGCTCGGGGCTCCACGGGCACCTGCATCCCCTGGCCTGAGCCCTCCCTGCCAGCTCCCACCAGCCCTCCCTCCTTCATCTTCCGTGGGAGCCCGGCCCGGGCTGCCTTTCTGTTGGCTGGACAAGCAGCATGAATGTTTCATGCCGGGCTCAGCCCCTCTGGCTGCAGTCACTGCTGGATCCTGCTCAGGGCGGTGCAGGAGCTGCTGAGGTTTGGGATTAGGAAGTCCAACCATGAAATGCAGGTGTCTGTAAAGCTGAGCAAGTTCCTGGGAAAGATGAGCTGGGAAAGGCGAGATCCGTGCAGAGGGATGGGTGTTCCCTGGACTTGGATCTTGCTGCAGCACGACTGGGGTTCAGGACCAGGCACTGCCGAGCTGAACGGGGAAACCCGCGGCTCATGGAAATCTCACTGCTGCTTTTCTTTACCTTTTGGTCCATGAGAACGCACTGACCAGGGGCATCGGCCTGAGGTTTGGTGGAAAAAAGGTGAAGTCGAGCTGATGTTAATGAGCTGAGCCTGCAGGAAGCAGGACCCCCTGCTGGGTTTGGCAGCTGGTCTGGAAAACTGAAGGAGGACATGGCGTGGGACACCCCATCCCATGGCCATGTGCAGTGCCCACACCACCCTTCCTGTCCCCCCAGGGGCTGGTTCCCCTCGTCCCACCTCCACCCGGGCTGGGCTGTTTGCATGCCCGGTGACCCCAAGGAGGGGATGAAGTTCCACCTCGGGTGATGGCAGCTGGGTGACACTCCTGGCCATGTGCCACCACCATGCTGGAGGGGACATGGACCTGCACCTCCCAACCTGTGAGGGCAATGATGGCTGGTGACAGAAGTAAAGCAGCTATCCCAGCCTGAGCTGCTCTGTGCCGTGGTGGCTTCCTGAGCTGTGCCAGTTCCTCATGGAATGATGTCCATGGAGTCAGTGCGGGGCCACTTTGCTCCCACCCTTGCAGGGAACTTGAGTGGGTCTGTCACTCATGTGGTTCCCAGACAATAAGTGGTCTCTGCCCCCCAATGGGGTGGATGTGCCTTAGGAGAGTCCTCTGGAACTCCGGGATCCCTACTTGGGCAGGCACAGCAGGGGGTGGAACACGGGTGGAGGGCAGGGCCAGCTCCACACAGCAGTGTCCTGGGGCAGCCAGCTGAGCCTGGTGCACACCCTCGTGCACACACACGTCTGTATTGTCACGTCTGCATGTGCCCACAGACATACAGACATGCCTGCATTCCAACTTTTATTGGGATAGGGAAAAAAATCTGATTTTTCAAGAGCCTTCAAAATATGTTTCTTCTCACTACATGATTCTCATGTTTTTCAAGGTAATGGAAGATACTAATTTAAACGTGAATCGGGGCGAAACTTCATTAGCTGTTGCTCATGGATGTCAAGTGAGCCCCGGGGCAGGTCGTGGTTCTCCCCCAGGACTGGTGGCTGGGCAGGTCACCCTGCCTGTGCTAATGTCAGCTGGTCAAACACACAAATATTTTCTCAGTTTGATTTTGCTACGAAGTCGTGGGAACTGGATAGAAATGAAAATAACAGCTGGTCTCAGCTTGTGAGTGGGGTGGGGTCAGGGTTTAAGGCTGGGCTGGCAATTGAGTGAATGACAGCTCCTCTCTAGTAACATGGCTCAAACCAGGCCAGGTGGGGTGGGATTGGATGGAGTGCAGTGGAGGGGGATAGGGATGGGATAGGGATAGGGATGGGGATGGGAATGGGAATGGCTAGGGATAGGATAGGAATGGGATGGCACGGCACAGCAGGAGGATGGGATGCAGGGGAGTGGTAGAGCCAGCTCTTTGTGCAGTGATCCCCCTGTGATCCCCCCAAAACCCTGGGTCAGGGGCTGCTCTGTCCTGCACAGCAAAGAGACAGGAACAGGTTTACCTGCTGTGCTGGGATGGGGCTGGGCTGTATCTGACACGGAGGGGCCGGCTCCTCCTTCAGGACTGGCAAGGACCACTCTGAGAAGACCCCCACAGGGGAGCATTCTGTGTGCCCCATCCCGTGTGCTGCTGACTGCCCAAGTGCTGTCAGGCAGAGCAGCTTTGGGAAACATCAGGAACACCAAGAATGGAACATTACTTCTCGTTATTTGCTGTATGGGCAACAACACCATGAGATGTGACACAACGAGGTGTTAAGAAGACACATCAACATTAGAAAGAAGAGCATATTAACTAAGAATGAAATGAAGATAAATTCTGGGGGTGGGGGGCAATTGCAGCACCCTCACACCTTGTTCCAGCGTGGGAAGACAGGTGCAGCACAGGGAGGCAGGGCTGCTCCAAAGGGACTTGGGGGCAGAACTGACAGACCCTCCACAAAACACCCACCCATGTGTTGCATCCACTGATCAGGTATGAAAGCTGGCAGAGGTGCCCGTGCCCCCCAGGTGCTGGGCAATGCCCAGCACAGCTGCTCAGTGGGGCTGGGCTGGGGGGGTTTGCTCCTTGCTCACAGCTGGGTGGGGGCAGCTCCAGCCCCTGCAGATAAAAGGGTGGCTGGGGCAGTGCTTGTCCTTCTGCATCTCCTCCTGAGGCTGTGCTGTGTGTTGTCTACTCATCCTGCAAGGAGCATCCCATCTCCAGGGTACTTGCAGACCACCACAAAGGTAGTGTTGGGTGAAATAATGCTCTTTTGATCCATCTGTCTGTAACTGGGCTGGGACAGCAGCACCTGGGTGAGCAGGTCAGTTGGTTTGACTGACTTGTGGAAGTTTTAAGGGTGTGAGGACTGGTATCTTTGTTCTGTCTGCCAGCATGGCTTTGGGTGGAGAGCTCTGTGTGTTTTTTCATCAGTGTCTGCTGAGCTGCAGCACTCTTCGTAAGCCTGGCTGTTGTGTTGTCTTACTGCTGCTATATGCCAAAGGGTTTGATTTTGTTTATTTGTATTATCTGATGATAGAGTTTGTGGGGCTGTTTTCTGGGCAGGGTTCTTCATGCCTCTGACCACGAGGCTTTGAGAGGAGGTGATGTGGAAGGTGCCTGGTTTGCACTCCTGGTTTGCACTCCTGGTTTGCTCTGGGATTTGCTCTTTGCCTTGGTGTGCTGCAGAGGCTTGTTCAGCAGCACGAGGCCAGGCTGCACATCATGTTTTGCTCTGTGTCCTTTTAACTGAGGTCACAAAGCTCCTGGCTAGAGCCATTGCACGAGGAAACGAGGGATTTCAGGACTTCAAGCCTGGAGGGTTAGCTACACTTGGGTTTGTTAAGCTGCAAAACCCCCAGGAGAGCTTTATGGAGGAAAGCAAGGGCACTGCCAGGCATGTGGTGCTGGGGATGGTCTGGGGTGCTGCAGTGCTGTGCTCCTCCCTTGTTCTGTGCTGCCCTGGTGTGGTACTGATGGCATCGCTCCCTTCCTGAGGGCTGAGCTGCTGCTGCTGGTAGTGGGGGCACCTAGTGCTACACCTTGATTTTGCTTTCCAGACCCAGTTCAATGCTATTGATATTCCTAGTGTTCTTCATACCAGCTACTTCTCAAATGACTCATTGGGGGAAAAAAGCAAACACTTCATACGGTCTTACCCCTAGAAAGAGAGACTATTTTGATCTAGATCAAACAGCATGTCTTCTGTTTACTGCATGTGCCATACTGAAGTGTATTTTACAGCTCCACTTTTTAAGACTTTTTTTGAACTAATCACAAGTTAGTACACCTGGTAGCTGTTGAATGTAGTAGTGATGAGACTCTCTGCTTTAAATGTCCTTAAATTATGTACTTCTAATACATCAGATCAGCAGCTCCAGTGGTTGTCCCTGAATGTTTTGATTTTGAAAAGGGAAATTCAAACCCAGCAAATCGTATCAGCAAGGCATTCAGGAACTGCACCAGGGAGCAAACCAGGATGACCCAGAATGAATTTGCAAACTGTTCACTGTGAGTCTTGAATATGAAACTTCCCTCTTTGAAATTTGCGATTTTCTCTGAAAGGTGATGGATTTTCACTTCTGAAGAGAAGAGAATCATGATGAGGCAGCCACAGCAACCTGGAAGGGAGGAGGAGAAGCTGATCACCTCAGCAGGGCTAGGGCATCTACACCACAACCCAATGCCACAATGATTGTGTCATGGCCACCATAACATGGTTTTAACAGGAATTATTTGTAGAACCCAAGTTAACAGCTATTGAAATTGGTAAGCTTTGTCAATTGAATTTGGCTTAGGACGAGCAGTATTTAGCACAGCTGCTTTAGTGCCCTGATCCAGCAAAGCACCTGTGTTCTTTTTCAGTTTCAGCTGCTCCTTGTCCCATTGAACATAATTGATGTCTCCACATTTAAAGATAAACATATATTTAAGTCCTTTATGAAATTAGGTTTGTAAGGTGCAATACCTTGTGAACCAAGGGTACATCTTGTCAGCCAAACTGGTGACACAGAGAAAGGCTTTACCCTCTCTGTAAGTGGCAGAGGGACAGGGACAGTCTCTTGTCCCTGTTGGCAGTGTTTTTCGGAGGCCACCTTTCCAGAGAGCCACTGTCAGCCTCTCAGTTCCTTCCTGCCTCCAGAGAATTGTGCAGGTGTGAGCAGTGAGCTTGCTGGCAGGGCTGGGACCTTCCTATCGAGGGCACTGCCAGCACTTGCATCACAGAATTGTTTATTTTATCCCAATCCCCTGGCTCTGGTGTGATTTCCAGTTCTGACCCTGTGCTGTGTGCCAGTGATGTGACCCCAGCTCTGGGTACCAGGCTCCTGTGGGCACCATCCCTTTTCCACCAGCTCAGGAGAAGGGCTGGGGACACTGGGGGTTCCTGCAATGTTCCCATCCCACTGCCTGCTCTCATGGAGGGGGATGACATTTTATTCTTTAACTCCAATTTGGAAAAAACCAAAACAACCATGTTTGGACACAGCAAAGCCACCTGCCTTTCTGCCCAGCTTTATTCTGCCAGCTCAGAGTCAGTGCAGCTGCACTCCCTGAGATAGTTCCCTGTGCCCATCAATCAGCCCCCACAAGTGGCCGGGGGTCCAGGGCCATGGTGGTACTTACAGGCAATGAAGCTCCAGAGGTACAAGCCCACGGGGCCGTGCAGGGTTTCATAAGGCTTGCCAAAGGCGTTGAGCATGAAGAAACCTGCTCCCACCAGAGCAAAGAGCACCAGTACTGCACAGAAGAGAATGACACTGACATGGATACTTGCAGGGATAGTTCTGAGCAGATCTGGAAAAACTGAAACAAAATGAACAAGGCATCATTATACACGGCAGGCAAAGCTGGTCCAGAAGTCAGGCCACTGCACGTGCCACAGTTCAGGAATACTTTACATCTTTCAATGCAGCTTTTTAGCTGCTGTTTCAAATTACGATTGTACTTCGCTAGTGCCCAAGGGGGGGGAGGAGGAACACACGATCAGACACGGAATGAGAGAGTAATTGTTCATCATTCCTGTTTGTTTGGCAACAAGGGGGGTTTAGAAGGAATCACCAAACACACTGAACTGCTGCTGATCCACAGGGCGTGATGGAGGTGCGGGACGGGGCAGGGCAGGGAAGCCCGGCAGGAATTCCCGAGCCTTTGGCGTGTTCAGCAGCCAAGGGCTCCGCAGCAGCGCGGCGGGAGGGGGCACAGGGGGCACAGGGCAGCCCTCTCCCTCACCGAGGGACGGGAAATGAATGAAGCAAATGCCTGCAAGCTGCTCCTGGGGCTGTGTTAAATAAGCATTGCCTCTGGCGTGGGTGACTGCTGGCTGGGCGCAGGGAGGGTCCCTCGGCCCCGAGGGTGCTCGCAGCGCCGGCGGGTGTCGGAGGGGCCGCAGGAACCAGCCCGGGGCTCTGCTCTGCCAGACCTTGCCCTGGCATCCCCAGCCCGGGAACGCAGCCGTGACCCCCC